GCAACGGTGGAGAAAGCACAGACATGGGCAACTCAAGTCCCACAGCAATCAGGGTTACAATAAAAGAATGCGTAGCCCCAGAGTCAAACAAGACATCAACAGATGATGCACCAATGGTAACAGTACCTCTAACAAGGTTCGAAGCTCGATCCGACTGCTGACGATCCAGAGTATAAACACGTCATGTAGACGGTGGCACTACCGGTACAGAAGTAGGTGGAAGGGGAACCATCCGAAGTGGCACTGCCTGAACTGCAGTAGCTCTCGCCGTCGACGACGGACAATCTCTAGAGAAGTGACCCTCCTTGCCACACTGAAAACAAATGAACTGACCGATAGAACACGGTCCAAAATGAGTCTTCCCGCATACCGAACACATGGGAGCAGGAGGTCTCGCTGCACTCCCTTGAGCAGAAGTCCTCTTGAACTGATTCGACGCTTGCCGAGTTGCCATCTGCTTTCCTTTGCCCTTGTTCCCAAACGTCCTGTCTCTCCAAGAAGTGGAACTACCAGCTACCTTGGCCCTCTTGGCCTTACTAGTGCTGTAGAAATCTTCAATATCACGACACTGTTGAACCAATGTCCCAAAGTCTCTCGAAGCAGAACCAACAAGGTAACCAGCAATATTCTCACTAAGTCCCTTGCGGAACTTAGCAGCCAATAATGCAGGAGTAGGCCTCGCCAACCTGAAGTGTGAAAACTTCACCAGCTCATTGAACTTGGCCAGGTACTCGTCAACAGACAACGAGCCCTGAACCAACCTGTCAAACTTCCCTTGCTTCCTCTCCTGTGCATCGTACGGGAAGTACTGACCCATAAAACTATCCTCAAAGAATGGCCACGTCATCACACGACCCTGCATCTCGTAGACATGGGAAATGTTCGTCCACCACTCATGGGCATCGCCCTCCAGCATATAAGTAGCGAACATCAACTTCTGCGGATCTGAACATTGCATGACCCGAAAGATCTTGTCTAGCGCCTGAAGCCATCTTGCAGCAGCAATGGGATCATAAGACTCATCAAAAGTAGGTGGCTTATGCTTACGGAAAGCATTCAGCCGGCGATCAATCGCATCTCTGTACTCAGTGGGCTCCACAAAGGGTTCCATCACCCGAACATCATGCGTAGCACTACCAATGTGACTCAGGGTCTCATCCTGAACACTAGGTGGAGGCGGCGGTGGTGGCGGTAGAGGTGGTGGCGGTGGGAACTGACCAACAGCTGGACCAGCTCTCATCTCCTCCAACATGGCCCTCATCAAGGTCATGTTCGCCAACCGATTTGCCTCAGGAGCATCCTCCGTGGCCTTCTGGTTTGCTTATCTAGTAGCGTCCATCATTGCCACGTTGGCCAATCTAGTGGCCTCCTGCATCTCAGCCAATGCAGTCAGGATTGGATCGAGTTGATCCTCAGCAGTCTCACGTGTTCTCCTGGATCCTACCATGACTCTGCACAAGTTACACAATTTATGAGTTGATCAGGCCCACACAATGTGATCACATATGCATCATCATAATAGCAACCAACGGAGCAAACACACAAGACAGACACAACCAAACATCTTAATCATTGCAATACATACAGGCTTTTCCCTTGAACCGTTGCTCTGATACCATAAAATGTAACACCCCGTGTATATCCGGTAATGTTATCATACTATCGTATTAAGATGCGCTTAATTAAAAATTGCGAAATATATTTTTCTTTTCCAATTATGACGTCATTCTACTTGGCCAAGTTGATTACTTAATCAATTTCATAAAAACAATGCCTGTATGTAAATTGCAAGACAACTAACTGAAATACCTCAATATAAAATATAGAGTGAGTATCTAAGTCACGATATTACATCACGTAATCCGGACAATATCCTAATACATTAATACAACTCCAACTAAAACAAGACATAACAAGTCTACGTGGCATGGACAATCCCCATGCTCACCAAATTAACAGCATAAACGACAGAGTCTCAACAAAATAATCCAAAATCATAACATGAAGCTAAAAGCATAAAAGCAGCAAGCATATCCAGCATCCAACATGTCAACATATAATATCATCAATATCTAACTCAGCTCCGGCCTCCTGCAGCCTGGGGCCTCAACCCCCACATTACCTGATCCTGAAATAAGCATTCTCCAAACGTGGGGTGAGATATCTAAACTATAAATCTCAGTAAGACAAGGAATGCAGTGCAATATAAGTTCTAAAAACATTTATATGAATATCAGTTCCAAAACTATGCAGTGCAACAGATATTCATGCCATGTGTGTTTAAACTATTCTTCTGGCCAGAGAAATGCAGGAATACGTCTATACCTACATGTAGTACAAGGAACACCGCTTGCACATCACCCACAGACTCACCATATTGTATGTACCACATACTCAGGCTTACCGTATAGGTAGAACACCACATGCATATCATAAAGGCACTAGCATATAACAACTCAATAGCATTTTCAAAACATCAAAAGCATGTAACACAGCATGCATATAACCATACCCCCATGGGACATGGTGGAACCACAACATGGCTAAACCGAGGACACAAAAGCTTACCTTGCAAGCTCACTATCCAATGCCAAGAGTCCTCACAGCTCAAGTCCAACACACAGCAGATCATAATCTGATTTAGGACCAGCAAGTGTATCAACATACATAGCTCAACAGCATTAACATAAATGTTACGTTCTCCTTTTATGATTTACGTCTTAAGGCTTCTAACAAAGCCACAAGCCCTTAATCACATGATTCTGACTTAGTTCATTAATTACAGAAGTTCAACTTCATCAATCCAGGGTCCACAAACCCCTAATAGCCTACTGTACACACAGCACAACTACTGTTCTACGAAATCCCAGAATATCCGGATATTCCTCGGGGCATATCCGGATATCCAATATCCGGATATCTCACTGTACATATCCGGATATCAATATCCGGATATCCAGATCCCCATATCCAGATATCAATATCCGGATATTTCACGATCAGATATCCGAATATTTCACGACAGAATGCAATTTCTGCATTTCGTGAAGATATCCTTCCAAGGTTCCATTTTTACCGATTACAGAAGCCTAAACATGCATTTCTAAGAGTGTTTAACATTACCCAACGTTAGGTTATCATCTTTTAACCATTACATACATCAAGGTTCCATTTTTAAGCATAAAAACTAAAGTTCAAAGGTGGTGATCATAGCACAAGCTAAAAACAGCAAAGGGAGATGCTCTTGGAGCTCACTTGAAGCTCCCACAATTCTAACTTCACAAGGTTACGAAAATACACTTCAAGCTTGTCCCTTTATGCCAAAAGGTGGCTTCTTGAAGCTCAAGAAGCCAAGAACAAGGCCACACAACCCAAACTCAGAACAAACAGCCCCAAAAACGTCCCACAAACAGCAAGCATCAACTCAAAATGCTCAACCACCCCCTCACAATGCTCTCAAGCTTAGTGTTTACAACTCTCAAGAAGAAGACTCACAACAAAGATGGCTTCTTGGTCCCTTTTCATGAGCAAAGGCCAAGACTTTCAAGAGAGAAGAGAAGGCTGGAGAGAATCAGCAAAAAGACTCACGTAGAGGCTGAGTATGGCCTAGGGTTTTGTGCCCTTAGGCTTATATAAGTCTATTTAACACTAACCACAGTGTATTAACTTTAATTGCTACGCTTAGCATTTTAATTCCAAACTTTGGATTCTTAACCTACTCAATTTTACAAGAATTATCATATTTTTATTATATTTTTTGGAGCACCTTTCCGGTACGCGTTTTTCATAGCCAGTATCAGTTTCTGGCACCATTTCTCATTATTTTGACTTGAAACTCGTTTTACAAGTCCTATAAATTATTCTAGGAATTATCATGCACTTATTTTCCGGGATACTTTTTCGGTACGCATTTATACCGACTAGCAGAACCGGTATCTGCACTTTTCTTCCGAAAAATGACTTTCAGCATTTTTAATCATTTATCATAATTATTAAACCTCTTAATAATTATTAGGGTCAATTATGGAATCATTTCATAATTTAACATAATTAATTACTTAATTTCCTTAATTAGCGGTGCGGGTTCTTACAGCCTACGACCTTTTTATTAAACAAGTTTTTTTAAAGCCCAGGCCCGACCTATTATACAAAAAATATTAGGTCAGGTTTGGCCTGATGTAGGCCGAGCCGTAGGCTCCTGTAGGCCGGCCCGACCCAGTTTCACCCCTAGCTGCCACGACTATCACCATCACTGTGGCAGCCACTGTCATCACCACCACCACCACTACTACCTTCACCATGCCGCAACCATTGCCATCACTATCATCACCACCACCTCTGCCACTACCTTCACCATGCCACCGCCATCATTACCACCACCACCACAACATATGGAAAGAAAAGTGATGATCCGAAATTTTTTTATGCTTAATAGATTTTTTTATTATATTATTTATTGTGTTATCAAACACAATTCTCTTTTTTGAAATAAAAATAAAACATGTTATCAAATACATTTTTTTTCAAGGCATAGAAATAGAAAAAAAATATTTATTTTAAAAAATAATGCGAGAGAACAGAATAATTCTCATGTACATCCTACATCTAAGAGGAAAGATTCAACATTTGTGAGTGTGTGAGTACAAGTACCAACAAACCAAAATTTCAAATAATAATAATAATAATTAAGAGTGGTGCTGGTGTAACATTTCAAATTTCTCAGGGTTTAAACTGACAATAACTGAAAACCCCGGGGGTAGACCTTTATTTATGATCTGTTACAAAATTTCAAATATAATCGTGTATAATGATACGTTAAGATCCTCATGAGGCTCACAATCAGGACCGTCGACGCGCATACACAGCTACGTGTAGGGTTAACGGATAGCATGATATGAAGGCGCGTTGTTCCACTACACTATTTCTACTTTGAATCGCAGTGCCAAAAAGAAACACACTAATATCATTGGCTAGCCAAAAAGACCAAGGTTTCGCGGCAACTCCACCTTCCTTCTCTCTATCCCCCCCTCCCTCTTTTCTCTCTCTCTTTCCTCTCCCTCTCTCTAAACCCTGCCATTTCTCTCTCCTCTTACCTTATGCTTCAGCGCGAATCCAATAAAACCGTACAAACGGTGAGCAAATTTCACTGTCTGATCTGTAATTTAGGGTTTGAATTCGAAAGAAAGAAACAATTTCAGTGACCTTCGGTTAATTTCAAGAAATTTGGCCTTTCGTGATTGTTCTTGCTGATAATTTTGCATTTTTTAAGTTATATATTTATTTATGTTACTGATAAAGATGTTTGGTAGCGGATGACGTTAGTTGATTCATGCTGCAATTTGTTTTTTCTCCTGTATTTGCATCTGCGATTTCTTTTTCCTCGTTACTTTTTTTCTTTTTTGTGTGTGGAAGTTGCGTTATTTTTATTTTTTTGTGGCTGGAAGAATATTGCGAGATACGATGCGATTGCGAGGACTTGTACTTGTTGATTTAGAAGTGCTTCAGGTTCATCTCCAAGATTTAAATGATGCTTCCTCTCTCTCTCTGTCTCTTTTTTTTCTTCTTTTGTTTTGGCGGGGGGGAGCGGCGTTTATGTATTTCAGATTCATTTTGTTCTGAAGTGTTGTTGATGCTTGCAGTCAAGTAGAAGCTTCTATGTCAGTGTAGAGATGTAGTTCTTGATTGGACAAGAGCATTTTTCACGTATGAAAATTTTCTCGTGGATCACTTTATGTATTTGTTATGCACTTCGTCTATCTAAAATAAAAGAGTAACATTAAGAGAAACTATCACTGTGTAATTAACATTTTGATTATGATTATATAGAAACTATCACCCTATCCTTTCAAAAGTTATATGAGTTGTATATCTCATCAGAACGAGTACGAAAACAGGAGATTTTGCTCTAACCTTACATGTTATTTACATAGTTCTCAAGAAAATTTTATGAGTCATGTTTCTTTTATGCATTATTGATCAATTCACTAGCTGAGTTTTAACTGAGCTTTTATTACATCCTATTTTATTCAATTTTAATTTTTTTTGTGCTGATAGATAAAGGATTTATGGCACCAACAAGGAATCCTAGAAGTATGAATAAGCGGTTTTCAAGTTTAAATGAGGTCTCTCCTGAGAAAGACGGAGTTAACTCAAATAAAAATAAGCAACGGGTATGTGTTTGTTTGATGGCATTTCCGTTTTAGGTTTGGAAGGAATTGAACAGGAGCAAAAAAACGCAGCTCACAGTTGTGCTCAGTAACGTACAGTCAGAACAGCTGTTATATGAGATAAAATGATAGTTATCGTGTTTTATTTAACATATAATATTGGGGTTGTTAAGAGGGCGAGCATGGAGCCATGGTAAAGTTGTTCATTTGTGACTGAAAGGTGACGAGTTTGCAATCTAAGAAATAACCTCTTTACAAAATTGCAAAGTTAGGGCTGCTTACAAAGATTTCCGTCACCCCCACCCTCGCAAGTTTGGGTTTCATGGGAGTGGTTTATAAATTGGTGTTATTATAGGTGTATTACACTTGAAAATATTTTGTCTAATAATTATAAGGTTCATTAATTCCATTCCACTAATCTACTTTCTCTTGACATTATTTTTTCTCTTGTTTAAAGCTTGACTTTTTTAATACTATCTGCTGTGCCCATTGTGCAGAAGAAAAAGTTGTCTGATAAATTAGGATCACAGTGGAACAAGGAGGAACTAGAGCGGTTTTATGTAGCATACAGGAAGTACGGGAAAGACTGGAAGAAGGTGTTCTTCTGTTTTGTTGTTATTTTATTCTGTCATCTTTTTTCTTCATTGGAAATTTCAGGGCAGTTGTACTTCTTCTTTTTGCTTCCTACTGTTATCATCACTGATGCAACTTAGTCTTTAGAGTTATTTTTATTATTCTCCACTCTTATTGATTTATTTAGATTTCCAGGTGGCTAAAGTTGTACGTAATAGATCTGTAGAAATGGTGGAGGCTCTTTACAATATGAATCGGGTACGTTAATAATACAGTAGCCTGTGGCTATATGCCATTAACATTATCATTATGTACTCTGTCTTTAGTTCCAGAATTTTGGTGTTATTTTTGTATGTCTTCTTTTTTCTTTTTTTTCCCCAAGTCTCAGCTGATTTGTGCAAAATTCAAATTTATCTTTTATAGAAACTGATTAATTGATGTTTGGTTTATACCTATGGAATATGGATTCTCAGACTTTTGTTCTTCCTCCTCCTTTTCCCATCCCCTCTACTTTTTGCTTTGTAAATCTGGACATTATTGAATATCATGCCATGATCGTCAGCTCACCAGTTTGCATCTAGGTTCTGAGTTAGTTTGACTTTGAATATTTATGTCCATGCTTACTTACAGATTTATTACATATAGGTGTGATGAACTATCTTATTAATGTTGTATGGCTCTTTTATTTTAAGTGTCATTGAAACTACAAATTGTAATTTACAGGCATACCTATCTCTGCCAGAGGGGACAGCTTCTGTTGTTGGCCTAATTGCAATGATGACGGATCACTATAATGTGCTGGTATGGTCGAAGTTAAGTTAAATGTTGGCTGAAATTTGGTTCTTTTTTATGATTCTGGCTGTCTAATATCTCTGTGACTGTTGTATCAAATACAGTTTCCTTCCAATGTTTGCTCTGTATTTGTTTTCTATCTGTTTGGAGGTTTTTTTTTTTTTGGACAAAATAAATTCTGAAAACGGCTTTTGGTGTTAAAAGCTCTTTTGGAAAGGAAAAATATTTCAGCTTGCGGAAAGAAAGATGAAACTTTTATGCTTAAAACTAAATTTATAAGCTGTTGTGGTTATTGCCAATGGCCTCCCTTATACTATATCATTTCAATCTCTCTTTTTCCTCCTAAGCAACAATTATGAAATTACAAGTGATGTAATTCATGCTTACATTTTGATACGGGTTAACAAGGAAGTAGACCCTCTTAGAGAGACACCAGTAATTTGGAAACTGTATACCCGCAAGAATATACATGGGCGGTTAGTTACTACTAGGGGCAAAAGGGGTAGTGGGTATAGTAGGTTACTAGAGATAATGTTAACACAATGGCTGGATTACTTTGCCTTTCTGTTAGTCTGATCCTATTGTACTTACTATGTACCATGTTCTAGAGAATTCTTCCTCTATTTCTGTTAGACTAGTCAGTTAGACGGTTCACTTCTGTTACGCTTCTGTTAGTGATTGTTTCCTTTGTACTGCTCTATAAATAGAGCTCTCTTGTATTAGAATAGTATGAAAGATTTCAGTTCTTTGATATGAAGATGTTATTCAGATTCTCTTTCTTTAATTTTCCGTCACTTTCTCTTGTTTTCTTGGCACTAAAATTGTCACAAAAGACCTGAGGTGTTGAGAATGGAACTTGCAGCTCCTGGAGCAGAGATTTAATCCATAATATTTCAGCACATGTTAGAGCTAGGCTTCGATATTCAGCCTCGGTACTAGACCTTGCCACCATGGTTTGCTTCTATTATTCCGCAATTTCCGCAACTGCAATCCCCTATAACGCTATAGCGTTTTTTAGGGTTGGCCGTGCAAGGCTGTAATCTGCAATTGATAACTATGACTTAGATTTCATTGATTCAAGCCATGAAGGACTGTTTAGAGCTTGTTTGACAGTAGTGGGCTTAACATGTGTGAGCAACTCTAGGTTTCAAGCAATAGATTTAGATCTGGTTATGATAGAATGAGTACGTGAGTGAGGACCAAGATCTTGGGAAGGAATGTACTCAGAATGTGAGGAAGAGAGGGACTAGAACTGACATCTGAGGAAGACATTGGTGGGAGTACTTCACGAGGACAAGGATGTGGGACTAGTGGAAATAGAAGAGGAAGATGATACCTCGGTAGTCTCTCACCTTTAGTAGTATCTCCATCAGGTTCTTCATCTCCCTCTACTAGTTCATTTACCTCTCCTTCAGAGTATCTTCCCTCTGGTTCCTTTCACACTCCCTCACCTACTCACTCTATTCAAACAAGGTCTAAAACAACAACATAACCTATTGCATCACTGAGTCTGTTAGGAATGGTATGAGGGAGCTTAAAACCCTTTGCAAAGGATTCTTCCACCAATGGGCTAAATGATAAACCATAATAAGTGGGCCGACACCACATCTTAACCCAAAACTTTAAGGCTAAAGTTGTACGGGTCTTTTTTGCACTTATATGGTACTCACATGAACATTTCTAATCGATGTGGAACTTCATCACTAATCACACTTGATTATTTCTAACATCTTCCCCTTACGAGTGAAGTCCAATATTATGCTCCCCCCTAAGGGCAACTTCTGCGTAAGTCTTTTCTCTTCAAATATTAGGGTCACACTAGCCTTGTAGTGAGGCCTCTTCAAGTGCATCACCATTTCCATATACTCGGCCCTAGCCAAACCTTTGGCTCTAATACCACTGTTAGCAATAGTATGAGAGAGTCTAAAATCCTTTGCAAATGATTCCTCCACCAATGGGCCAAATGATAAACCACAATATGTGGACCGTCACCACATCTTAACCCAAAACTTTAAGGGTCAAGTTGTATAGGTCTTTTTTGCACTTATATGGTACTCACTTGGAACATTTCTAATCAATGTGGAACTTGATCACTAATCACCCTTGATTATTTCTAAGAGACTCACATTGAACCTGCCTCAGTTAAGCAAGCACTTAATAGTCCTCCTTGGTTGGATCCAATGAAAATTGAATATAATGTTTGTTAGCTAATCATACATGGTCTTTTGTAAGTTTGCCTTCTCACAGGAAAGCTATTGGATGCAAGTAGGTATTCAAGGTAAAGGAGAATCCAAATGGATCAGTCAATAAGTATAAGGCTTGATTAGTTGCTAAAGGGTTTCACCAGGAGGCAGGTTTTGACTACAATGAAACTTTCTCTCCAGTTGTAAGACTAGTCACTGATTGGATCATACTTACTTTTGCAATTTCTCATGGCTGGCCTCTAAGACAGCTTGATGTCAACAATGCTTTTCTCAATAGAGACTTGGAAGAAGAAGTTTACATGACTCTGCCGCCTGGGTTTGATGCGTCAGATTAAACACTTGTGTGCAGACTTCACAAGGCCTTGTATGGGCTTAAATGGGCCCCAAGGGCCTGGTTTGACAAGTTAAAACACTCTTTTACTTCTTGGTTTTCACTCTAGCAAATGCGATCCCTCACTTTTCTATCTTCAAGAGGATGGCAGGCAGATGTACATCCTAGTATATGTAGATACATATTTATTCCATGGCTAAGCAGTGATGAACCCTCCAACCTCACAAATAAATTCAAGTTCGGAGGTTTAAGTAATGGCAGTGGGTGCTCCACCTCCTCCGTTGGTTGAGGCTTCAACGGTTCTTGCGCCACCTTTGTTGATACATCTCTTTCATTCATAGCTTCATGAAATTCATCGACCTCTTTTACTTCCATGGTTTGTTGCTACAATTTCTTCTTGCATGTGCATCGTTGGAGTCCTCCAATCTCCTCCAACACCCTATAGCTTTTTATCGAATCACCATAGTTTTCCACCTTCTTCGGTAGAGATTTTTTCTGCATCTTCGTCTCAGATTTAAGAAATATTGGTTCTGCATATCGAGAGGATTCTTGAATCTCCTCACTCTCCTCATCCTTCTTCAACGTCTATGTTTTTGGTTTTTTTGACACTACTTTAACCTCATCTTCCAAACAAATCTTAGGTTGGTATAACTGTAAAAGAACTTTTAAAAACGTCCACCAACTTGCATTTGGATGAAGTCAACTCCAGCATATCTACCAGCTTTGTGCTCAACCCTTGAGTGTCTTCACCGCTTTGAACAACTTTGCAGATTCAGGAATTCCCTTCGCTTAGCAGTGTTGTTCAACTTTGATAAGCCACCCATATCCTTCTCCTCCCCAAAAATATGCAATCATCTTTTTCTTTTTCTTTTTTGATCTCTGATACCAATTGATAGGACCAGATCAGAAATCAAGAACAATAAAGAACACAAGCAAGTTTTTGGCCCAGATTAATATCTGGATTTTCTGTATATTGATGAATCAAATTGCGTCAGTAATGGAAATTTGTAAAAATTGAAACTACTACACGGCAATGTTGTTATAGAAAGAAAGCTCTAATGACAGAAACCATAGATCAGCATATTAGAGAGATGCTGAGCTCTCCAAGTCCCAATTCTAATTCTAATTCCCAACTCACTTCCCTTTCCATGCCCAACTCACCATGTAACCAACCTTCCTAACCAACTTAGCCGCCTAAGCACCTACATAACAGAATTGCACACATTTAATTACGTGTGCTATTATCCAGAATATTCCCATGGTTATTTATTCCATGTGTCGCCTCCTACCATACACCTACATATGTGTCGTGTCATATCGCAATGGCACTCACACCTTTGGCTTGCATATCTAGAAAGCCTCTTTTTCTCTCAATCATTGGGCCTTACTGCATTCTGTGATGCAGTTTAGGCGAGTGATCCTGATTATATGTGTTCTACTTCAAGAGCTTGTCTATTTCTCGGTCCTAACTTGGTCTTATGGTGGTCAAAGAAGCAGACTCTAGTGGCTAGGTCCAGCACTAAAGCTGAGAACCGTAGCCTTGCTTTAACTTGCTCGGAAATACTTTGGATCCAGTCACTTCTCAAGGAGATCAATATACCTCTTGCAACCCCATTGGTGCTATGTGACAACCTGAGCACTATTCCCTTGTCTCACAATCCAGTTCTCCATGCTAGAACCAAACATATGGAGCTTGAAATATTCTTTGTTCGAGAGAAAGTATTTCCAAGCAACTTGTGGTCTCTCATGTTCCAGCTACAGAACAACTGACTGATACCCTTACAAAGCCTTTATCCTCTGCTCATTTTGAATTTCTGCGACACAAACTCGTGGTTGTGGATTCAGTTTCATGACTTCACACTTCCTGAGTTTGCGAGGACGTATTAGAGATAATGTTAACACAGTGACTGGATTACTTTGCCTTTCTATTAGTCTGATCCTAGTGTACTTACTAAGTTACTATGTACCATGTTCTAGGGAATTCTTCCTCTATTTCTGTTAGACTAGTCAGGTAGACGGTTCACTTCTGTTACGCTGCTGTTAGTGATCGTTTCCTTTGTATTTCTCTGTAAATAGAGCTCTCTTGTATCAGAGCAGCATGAAAGATTTCAGTTCTTCGATATGAAGATTTTATTAAGATTCTCTCTCTTTAATTTTCCGTCACTTTCTCTTGTTTTCTTGGCAGTTTCCTTTACAGGGGAACTTTATAAGGACCCTTGGACAGTTGTAAGAGGGTAGGGTGTTAGTTTCTGAGTAGAAGATTTGAGACGAGTCTCAGACAAGGAGGGGAGTGCCCCTATTTGGGAGTGTGTATTTTTACCTTTTCTGGATTAGAATCAAGGTGAATTTAATTTTCTGTTCATTATTTCTCTTTTCTTAAATCATCCTTCATTGTTATTTGCTCTTTGTTATTCCGGACCATGATACAAGTTTGGATTTCATCTGTCTTAGTTTGTTGAGATTCATGACCGATTGATGTTTAGTAAGTTGATTTCTTCTGAGTTTTGTTGGGCTTTGCTATGTGCTCAAAATTTATTTCATTAGCTTCAATTATGTGTTTCTGAATTTATTTTCTGGACCGGGAATTTACAGGAAGAGAGTGATAGTGAAAGAGAGATCAATGATGCACCAGGATCTCGAAAACATGTGAAACGAAAGCGGGGGAAAATTCAGCTTAGTGTCTCAAAAGATGCAGACCAGTCTCAATCAATTGCTTCCAATGATGGTTGCCTCTCTCTATTGAAGAGAGGACGCTTTGATGGTGAACTACCATTCAGTCCAGTCCAGTTTTGGATTACTAGAAGTTCTATCTGTTTGAAACCTTTGTAACTAGAAATTAAGAGTTAAGATAGAAAATTTCATTCGTATAACTGGTAGACTTTCTAAACTTTAGCTCAACCAACACCCCCCTCCCTCCCCAAATAAATAAATTAATAAAATATCATATTCTGGTAGTAGTAAATCAGTAACCATATCTAAATCAACATTACTTGACAGATAGGTTATAATTATGCGATATGTTAATTATTGTACCTGTGGTCTGTTATTGCCTTTTTTTTGTTTTTCTACTATTAGATTTATCACCTTAATAAGGTTGTGGTCCTGCTGATGTCAAGTGCTATCAAGACAAATGGGTATGCAGAAATTATTATGCATTACTTCGTTGATGTTATTCTGGCATTTGAGATCAAACTTCATTTATCATTTGCTTTTACAGGATTTTGGAAAATTCCTCGCAATTTAAAATTTAAAATTGAATAGTAGAACCGATAAAACTAGACCCTTCTTGAACTCCCCCTCCATTTCCAAGGCATTAGCAATTTAGAATCAAACATAGAGCTTGAATACTTTCCTTCAACTTCTTTAAACTAATAACTTGGTAATATATTTTCATAATATCTAAATATTCAACAGTTGATTGCAATTTTGATGGTTGTTCTATTAATCAGGTAGCCAGCCTCGTGCAGTTGGGAAAAGGACTCCTCGTGTCCCAGTTAATTACTCCTATAAGAAAGATTATAGGGAAAATTATGTGTCACCTAATAAAAGAAGCCTGAAGTCAGATTTTGATGCTAATGATGATGAAGTTGCTCATGTGGCAGCTTTTGCATTAACTGAGGCTGCACAAAGAGGTAGTGTTCCCCAAATATCTCAAATGCCGTATAAAAGATCAGATCAGAAGTCCACTCCTGTTCAGAGCTGGGAAAGAATGGTATTTAACTGCTCTCCTGCATGTTCTGTCATTAGGGTGTTTCTGTTGGCTCTTTTTTTGCTTAACAAGACGTGTTTGGGTTTTGATTTTGTGAATAAGCTTCAAAATTCAAATATAAGCTTGTGGCAAGCTTTGTAGTTGACTTTCTTGTGTTCATACCTTGTTTTTTCAAAAGTTTGCGACTTGAATCAATTATTTTCTATTTTGTCAACTAGCACCAAGAGTCCGAGACAGTTCCTGTCAAGTTTTATAATTCTTCTATGGAAGAAGAGTGCTTGGAAGTTAGTATAGAAAGCAGGGGAGCTGAAAATGGAGAATATACTAGAGATACTAGTTCCTTGATGAACATGGAAGGCATAGGCACTGTTGAAGTTCATCAGAAAGGGAAAAAAAACTATGCAAAGAAGAAAAGAGTGGAAATTGTTGGAAACTATCTTGATGATGGTGGAGAAGCATGTAATGGCACTGAAGAAGGACTTAATTTTAGTTTGAAGGAAAAAGTTGTTATTGAGGGTACTAATGCCAAACCAAAGCATAATCTTTTGTTTGGAGGTAACTCTGTCACCACTGCACTTATCTACACGAATGTTTTGTGCAAACCATCTTTTAGTTGCTTTTCCTCCCTTCACCCAGGAGCAAGGTGAATGGTTGGACTCCTGTAAAATTGAATTTCCTTCCACATATCTCCTTGGTAACCATATTTAATTATTTTATTTAACAGATGAAAGCTCTGCCCTGGATGCTTTGCAAACTTTGGCTAATCTGTCTCTAATGATACCAGCATCTACTTTGGAATCTGGTAAGAAGAATGGAGTCATTGATATTATTTATAGTGTAAGAGACTTGTACAAATATACACTTGCACACATCCGCGCTCAGAGTAATAGCTGAATCAGAAAAAATTTCAGTTTTTAGCATTTTCGTGTTCAACACAATTTATTATCCATTTATACTGACGTTCACTTAGTTAAGATTGATTTACCTCATTTCAGTCCATTTAATAACACAATCTGCATGAGACTGAGAGCACATATGAGATTCCAATACAAGAAAGAAGCTTCCATTTTCCAGCTTCTTCACATTGGCATAATTAATTGCACTTTTAACCTCTTATTGATTTGGGATGATTTTTTGCTCATTTTCTTTTTCAACTGAAATGCCATGGAGTCCTGAGCTAGAATCTACTTCTTGGTGCTACTTATGTTTATGTTTGTTGCTTTAGTCATCATTGGGATTTTGCAAATATTCTTCTCTATCCAAATTCTTTTAATTCATCACTGTCCTCTCATCTCACCCTTTTCACATCTAGAATCATCTGCCCAGTTGAAGGAAGGAAGAATGATTGTTGAGAAAGCCAAAAAGTCTACTTTTCCTGAAGGGACCCAAAACATAGACAAAATTCTCCCAGATTCAAGACAAAAGGTTGTTCATGCAGGCCCTGGAATTGAAGTTTCAACCTCCCCAAAATCTAAACTTGAAAGGGAATCAGTAAATGATACTAATGCTCTCTTTGAATCAAAAGAGCATATTCTCTCTGCTTATAAAACGTGGAAAAGAAAACGCAAGTCTATGGTTTCAAAGGTAAAGTGAATTTTTTTTTCCTTTGTTGCTTTATCAAATGGATAATACATTGCTAGGCAACAATGTAGAGAAACTTAAGGGTTGTACAAAATAATAGTTGATATATGATAGTCATATGGTTTCACATATGAAAATTTAGATTTGAGATGAGATGTGATGATGATGTTGGAGATTTAAAATCGTGGTTTATTACTTGCTTACTTATTTTATTAATTTTGACTAACAAATCGATCAGTTTCACCAGTTACCAATTAACAGTGCAACATCACTGGAATTGTGCTTATAATGATATTTTATCTTACAATTATCAGATTCCACTCCCTCTGGTTCTGTCTAATGCTTGATTTCTGGAGGCTAAGAAGCATGGATACTAAAATTTACATGACAACCTCAGAGAGACAGTTACATAGGTTTTTGTAAGTGTCTCTTTGTGTCTAACATGAGGGCTCCATATTAGATATGGCTCCTTTTTGAGGTGTCCATGCTTCATAGCTAAGAGGATAGTTCTGCAAAATTGCAAGTTACGGATTTTTAAACAGCCATCATGGCATTCAAGCATGTAAGGCTGAATATTTGTTCTTTCTGTTCTTTTCTTTTAAATTATTTTTATTTAGTAATGATAGTAGTCCCTTACAAAAATCAAAATATAATTACAATGTCAAGTGATTTTGCATGCCTGTATGGAACAATGTAATCTAGTAATATTTTTATCCTTCTTGGTATTCCTCAATTATTTTTCAGATCCCACCACCAATTTTCAAATTCAGTAATATTTGCAATTAAATAATTAAGAACCATCAACATCACCTTTATCCCAAACTAGTTGGGATAATGAAAATCTTTATATTTTTGTCGTCCCAAGTGCGTGTATTTGTGTAAACCTCTGAGTAAATAATTCAAGTTTTATGGTTGAGAGGAATATTTGCCCTTTAGAATCTTTAAGACTTTGTTCAGGTAATAGGGATGATAAGTGCTATTATGTAATTTTATCAACTATAAAGTTAAGTGTTCCACGAATTATGTATTCTATCTAATTTAATAACTTTTGAATGTTTAAATTGTGGTTAGATGTTCTGGTCCTATTTGTTAATACATGTCAAATTGTCACAGAAATTAAGTTGCTTATGTGCTCTTATCTATGAAAGATGCTTGGTATGTATTTAATGTACTTATGAAAGATGTGCTGCTTGCCGTGTAGGATGTAGATGAAGAGAGCAAAGCTGATCAGATTTCCACTCTTGAAAAACAATTAAAGTTGGTCATGTCATCAGAAAGTTCCCCGTGTAGTGACCAGAAAGAATTGGGCGTATCAACTGCAGAAATTCCACTTGCGAGTGAAGTTATTTTATCAACTAAAATAAGAAGTAGACATAAGATGATTTTACAGAGAACGTTAATGCCTAAAGAGAAATCTTCTGAGAACATATTGAAAAGTCAACCTAATAAAGATTTGACCCCCCTCCAAGATAGGGCATTAGTTTTAAAGGTAGGAGCTTTGACTCAGTTTAAATTGATTAATTTCTGAAGCTTGGAGGGGTATTACTTTTTTTATTGGGGTAATTGTTACTTGCAGGAAAAGCTTTCTGGTTGCTTGTCATCTTATATGGTTCGCAGATGGTGTATGTTTGAATGGTTTTATAGCGCAATTGATTATCCATGGTTTTCCAAAAGGGAGTTCACGGAGTACTTAAATCTTGTAGGTCTAGGGAATATCCCAAGGCTATGTCATGTTGAGTGGAGTGTCATTAAAAGGTATTAAATCCAGTTTTGGTTAGCATAATCTACTGCTGAACCTTTTGAACAGTAAAGTATAAAATAGGAAAGGCCATATTTGACACTGCATTTACTTGTTTCTTGCAGTTCCCTTGGCAAACCACGCAGATTTTCTGAACACTTTCTTCATGAAGAAAGACAAAATCTGGAACGGTATCGGGAATCTGTTAGGAAACATTATGCTGAACTGCTGACTGGTATCAGAGATGGACTTCCAACGGATTTAGCTAAACCTTTATATGTTGGACAACGAGTAATTGCTCTTCACTCAAAGACAAGAGAGATTCATGATGGAATTGTGCTTACAGTTGACCATGACAAGTACAGGGTTCAGTTTGACCGTCCTGAATTGGGTGTTGAATTTGTCATGGTAATGTGGTCTCTTATCATGATGATGCTCAAATTTTAATTATTATAGCCATTCTACAAGAGTTAGTTTTAAAATCAACATCAACAATACCTTTATCCCAAACTAATTGGGATCGGTGGTATATGAACCCAAATGAAAGATATGAAGGGATTGAAAAAATATATATATAAAAAAAATCACTTCCCGTTAAACTCGACTAGGGAGTGTGAGGTGGAGGAAATCTTTGTACGCTGCATTACTCTTGCATAATTGCAAAGAGGCTGTTTCCTGGATTCGAACTCATAACCTTTTAGTCATGAAGGAACAGTTTTACCACTGCTCCGATTCGTCCCCTTTAAAATAAAATAATATAAAAAAATAAAAAAATAAAAATAAAATAATACATATATAAATATAAAAATAAAAATAAAAATAAAAGGGGTGTAAAAAATAATAATAATAAATAAATAAAATAAATAAGTAAGAGAAAAAATAAATAAGATGGGGAAGGGGAAAAGAGATAAAGGAAAATAAGGGGAAAAGAAGAAAAGGGGGGAGATGAAAAGGAAAAGGACTAAAAATGGACCATTTGGAACATAAGAATAACAATGGATCTAATCCTCCACCATACTTATAGTTTGAAATAAGACCAAAATTTTCTTCCTTGTTATGTAACGAAATTTTCTATACCACGTGATGTTGAAAAAAATAATACCCCTTTTCTCCCCTCTTGGAGAAAATTGCATTATATTTGTGAAAACAAGAGACTTGTTGTTACATTTTGTATACGCTTTTAATGAGTGGTAATTTGGGTGCAGGACATTGATTGCATGCCTTTTAATCCATTGGATAATATGCCAGAAGCTCTGAGGAGGCATATTGACGCTGGTAAAGTCCCTCGTGTGAGTAAAGAACCACAACTGAAAGGAAATTCAAGTTTTGGGGGGTGCATGACGTGGGCTTCAAGTGGACCTGGGGAGAAGACACACACCGCTTCAATTAATTTGGCTAAGCAGGAAAAGGTTAGATTGCTTATCAATAGCAAGTATCAATGCACAATTTAGTCTCAGAATACTATGTCCTTGATGTGATGGCTGTTCCTTTTTGCTCATAAAGATTTTTCGGTGCTTATGCTTTTGTTTTATATGTTCCATTCATACATGAATGCTTATTATTTTCACTCACTAAGTTTGTCAGTTCATTGCAAATTAATTATTGTTCTTTACTTCTTATCTGCATAATACGATTAGCTTGAACAGTTTGTAGGGGAGATTCATAGTTTACAATTTTCCTTAATTTGTTCTTGCTTTTATGTGGATTCATCAAACCACTTATCCCAACTAATTCATGATAAAGGTGATGTTGAAGTTGACTTTGTTTGATTAGTTGACAAACCTCCACACAGTCCCATTTTTTTTCTTTTCTTCTTTACAAAGGGTTGATTTGTAACAAGTTCTTGAGGGGGAGTGTTAAAATATATGAAAAATATCTCAAAATATCTTGATTGCATCTTAAAATAATAGAGTATCTTAAATTATCTCACGGGATTGGTTTCCATATATCTATATATTTCATGATTTGTTTCCTTATTTAATTTGGATTTGGATTCTAATATTAGTATAAATAAGGTATTAGTGCTTTATAGTTTGTATAACATCATAACACATCCTTTATGTCAAATCAATATTAATTTCAGATTATTTAATCTTTATTTTCTCTTTTCTTCCTTCCCTACCTAAATTCCTACAATTTTGATGGAATATTAAAACAAGAGACGTCGTATTAATCAAGAGAAATATGGAGACAGAGCTCCTTACAATAACTTCCATAATAGTGAAGGAAATTCAAGCTAAAAAAAAGAAACTAACACTAAATCTCAGACTTAGAAAAGCATGTACACCCTCACATAGGACCCAACGAACAAAACAGAGATAATAGGTGATACTGAGACTTGGCCATCCAGAGTCTCACTCCTCTAGTAGCCCCCATTCAGACACAAAATCAGCCTACCCCCTCTGCGCTCCCCTCCAATCTTTTTATCCCCTTTGTCCTTTTGTTTTGTCTTCTCTATTTTCCTTTTGCCACGGGTCCTGGTAGCCAACTAGTTCTTTTTCATTTTTTTGGACTGGTTCATTTGGCAGCCCACTTATTGGCCCATCCTCCTTTGCAGACTTCTTTATTTTTCCATATACTTGTTTAAAAGGCTCAACAACACCTCTCCCCTCAAGTTCCGCCTTGTCCTAAGGTGCAAGGTAGGAAATTGCTTCTGCATCTCTTCCAGGTCTTCCCAAGAACATTCGCAGTCTGAGAGGTCTTCTCATTCAATCAATACTTCGATCTTTCCATTTAACAATTTAAGCTTTTAAAATTTCAACAGGTTTAACCTACAGCTCCAACTTTTCTGATAAACACCTTAGAAGTTCTAACACTAGAACAACGAGATTAACAACTCGTTTGAGTTAAGAAACATGAAAAATAGGATGAACCTTCGAATAATTGGGAAGTAGAAGCTTATATGCTATGGGTTCAATTTTCTTTGTAATTTCAAAAGGACTATAAAACCTGGGGCTGAGCTTCTGATTAATTTGTCTAGCTAACAACCTTAATTTATATGGCTATATTTTGAGGTACACCATATCCCCCACCACAAACACAACTTCTCGTCTTTTCTTGTCTGCTTGGAGCTTCAGTCGTTCTTATACCTTCCCCAAATTTTGTTTTAAATCATCTAAGATAGTGTCCCTCATTGAGCAGCTGATCTACTGCTGCCACAGGGCTACTGCCTTTTTTTAGCCGGATTAATGCAAGAGGTTCCTTTCCATACAATGCTTTAATTTGTATGGATCAATTTAAAGATGAATAAAACCAATGTTTTGCCCATGGGATCTATTTCAGCCAACTCTTAGGATGTGCACCAACAAAATATATCAAATAAGTCTCTAATGTGCTATTGACTACTCCGTTTGTCCATCCATTTGTGGATGATAAGCGGAGCTGAATTTCAATTTGGTACCCACTAGTTTGAATAACCTTCCCCAAAATTTGCTTAGAAATACCCTATCTCTATCGAACACTATGGATCTAGGGAAACCATGCAGCTTTACAATGTCTCTCAGAAAAATAGCAGCAACTTCTTGGGTTGTATACGAGTGTGATAGAGCCAAAATATAGGCATATTTAGTTAGTCGATCTACAACGACTACTATGGTGTCCATATCTTGGGACTCGGGCAAACCTCCTATGAAATCCATGGAGATATCTTCACATACTTCTTCCACTATGCTTAGGGGTTGCAACAACCCTGATGGAGTCAAGCTGCTATAGTTTTGCTGTTGGCAAATAGCACATGATTTGACAAAATCGACTACATCCCTTATAATTCCTTTCCAATAAAAAAGAGCAGCCATTTTTTTGTATGTTCCAAGCTCTCCTGAATCTCCTCCCAACAGTGATTCATGGAACTCTTGCAAGATCAATGGAATTTGAGGCGATGTCTTGGGTATAACCAATCTATTATTTAGCCATAAACAACCCTTGAGCACGTTGTATCCAGGATGTGTATTCGGATCCTGTTTAATCTCTAGAATCATTTTTCGAATGTGCTCATCCTTCAATACTTCTTCTGTTAGTTTCTGCGATAGTGAGCTATAAGTCACACTCATCTCCTTGCAATCCATTACTCGGGGCAAGGCATTAGCTACGCGGTTCTCTACTCCTGGTTTATAATGGATTTCAAAGTCAAACCCAAGGAGTTTAGCCACTAGTTTTTGTTGTCCTTCTGCCTTGAGATGTTCTGTTAAATATCTCAAACTTTTCTGATATGTTTTTATGATAAGTATCCTCCCTATAAAATAATGTCACCATTTGTGTTCAGCGAACACAATTGCCTTAAGTTCTTTCTCATATGCTGATGGAGACCTCCCTTCTTCGCTGAAAGCTTGATTGAGGAAAGCCGAGGGAAGACCCTGTTGCATTAGGATAGCCCCCATCCCCATCCCTGAAGCATCTATTTCCACTTCAATGTCTTGGTGAAATCCGGTAATGCCAGCATTGGTAGATGCATCATTGCTTTTTTCAATGATCAAAAGCCCGTTGAGCCTCCTCTCCCCTCTTAAAGTTATCCTTCTTAAGCAATTCGGTTAGTAGTCTTGCCAATTGTCCATAATTCTTAACAAATCTTCTATAGTACCATGTAAGCCCTAAAAATCCTCTCACTCCCTTGGCATTAACAGGAGCTAGCCAATTTTTAATTGGCTCTACCTTATCGGGATCAGTTTTTACACCCTCACTTGAGATAATATGGCCCAAGTATTCCAACTCTCGCTGACCAAAGCTGCATTTCTTATAATTAACAAGCAATTGATTCTATCTAATCACCTCTAAAACTTGTGTGATATAGGTAGTGTGCATTTTTGCGGTTCTGCTATATATCATAATGTCATCAAAGAATACAAGCACAAAATTTCTCAAAAATGGTCTAAAAATCCCATTCATCAAAGCTTGGAGTGTAGAAGGGCCATTCTTCAACCCAAAGGGCATTACGAGATACTCATAATACCCCTCATGGGTGCAGAATGCAGTCTTCTCAACGTCTACTTCACACATTATGATTTGATTGTATCCTGATTTGGGATCTAATTTAGAAAAAATGACTGTTGATTCATCTATCAGTTCATCTATGATTGGAATAGGGAATTTATCAGTGATTGTTACCTGATTTAATGCCCTGTAGTCCACGCAGAAACGCCAACTCCAGTCTTTCTTCTTCACAAGGATGAGTGAAGTGGAATAAGGAGTTGTACTTGGCCGAATCAACCTGTGGACAACATCTCTTTGACAAATTTCTCAATCTCTTCCTTTTGGTATTAAGGGGACCTATACGGTTTGATGTTAGGGATAGTTGCCCCTTCCTTCAAAACAATCGTATGATTACATGCTCTTCCCGGTGAAAGACTATTGGGTGACTTGAAAGAACTGCTGGATAACCGTGGAAATCTCGTGAGAAATTTCTGATTGTCCTTGTTCCTTCATCTCAAAAAATCCCAACTCCACATAATATGCCTATACTCTTTTTTTCCAGACTTTCCCTAATTTTTTACAAGATACCTTGTTGTAAGATAACTCTGGATCTCCTTGTATTCCTACCATTTTGTCTTTCTTGCCTGGTAATTTGAGGACCAACTCTTTAAAATTTGCTTTAATGTCACCCAAGTTGGCCAACCAATCAAAACCTAAGATGACATTCACTCCCCCTAAAGTGAACAAGAAGAAATCTTGGATGATTGTCAGCTCTGGTAATTTCAATGCCGCTCCACAACACATTCCCTTATTAACTCGATGCCCATCACCAACTTCCACCGAGGAGACCTTCGTGTTGTCATTGGGAAGCCCTATATTTTGTGGTATATGCTTTCGGGGAGAAAGTCATGTGAAGCCCCTGAGTCAATCAACACCGTCACCTTAGTCCCCTCAATTTCTCCCTAAACCTTCAAAGATCTCTTCGAAGTTAAGCCCACCATGCTATGGACACTAAGCCTAAGGGATTCCCCATCTGTTTCTTCTCTCCGTAAAGCCTCTTCTCCTTCCTCTTCAGTAACGTCTGCTCCTGTGCCTAAGATCATCACATTGAGATTTTGGTTTCGACATACATGATATGGGGAGCATCACATCTGAAACACAAGTTTCTTCGTCGTTTCTCTACCATTTAGCCTGCTATGAGTTGTGTGAATCAGATCATATGTCGTTTTACCCCCATGGTGTTGTCACCAGTCACCTATGACGTCACACCTCTCTTTGGGTTTCCATTTGGGTTCTGAGTCGTTGATCCTTGGATAAATCCTAGGGTTCGCTCAATACTGGTTACAATAATGGGCCCATTTCGTGGGCCACCCCCTCCAATATTTGAGGCTCGTGGATTGAAGGAGGCTCCTAGCCCAATTCGCGTTTCTCCAGCAAGGCAACAACTAATTGACTTTGATTTTGGACTCTATTGGGTAAAGTGACCCTAGTATGACCCGCTCCTTTCTCTTCTCATCCCTACACTGCTTTTCGTTCCTCCACTCTCCATGTTCCTCCATCGTTCCACTGTAGGTAGCAACTCCAAGGACTCAGAGCTTTGATATCAAAATGATGGAATATAAAAACAAGAGACATTGTATTAATCAAGAGAAATATGGAGACAGAGCTCCTTACAATAACTTCCACAGAAAGGAAGGAAATTCAAGCTAAAAAAAAGAAACCAACACTAAACTTCAGACTTAGAAAAGCCCGTACACCCTCACACAGGACCCAACGAACAAAACAGAGATAACATGGTGATACTGAGACCTGGTTAGCCAGAGTCTCTCTCCTCCTAGTAGCGCCCAATTCAAAGACAAAATCAGCCTACCCCCTCTGCGCTCCCCTCCAATCTTTTTATCCGCTTTGTCCTTCTATTTTGTTTGCTTTTAAAAGGGGGCAAACCGGAGCAGTGGTAAAACTGCTCCTTCATGACTGAAAGGTCATGGGTTCGAATCCAGGAAACAGCCTCTTTGCAATTATGCAAGGGTAAGGCTGCGTACTAGGATTTCCTCCACCCCACACTCGCTAGTCGGGTTTAACGGGAAGTGGTTTTTTTTGTCCTTCTATTTTGTCTTCTCCTTCATTTTCCTTTTGCCATGTGTCTTGGTAGCCAACTAGCTCTTTTTCATTTTTCTGGACTAGTTCATTTGGCAGCCCACTTAGTGGCCCATCCTCTTTTGGAGACTTGTTTAAAAGGCTCAACAAATTTCAACAAAAGTATTCACCTATTGCTTTTCTCGTTTCTTCAAAATATGCTAATATAAAACCCATAAAGGTCTAGCATTGGTTCTACTGTATCCTCGATGCTTATCACATAGGTTGACTATGCAAATTTTACGTGGTGTATCCCAAATATTAATTTTATTTCATTAAAATCTCTTGTAGGGAGATATTAACCATTAAGTTGCCCAAACAAAGACTGCTATTATTGATCACATCTGCTCACAAGAAGCAGTGTGTGTTCAACCATGTAAAATGACAAACTATTAGAGCACCGACACTGACACTGTGCAACACTCCGACACGTCAATTCTAAAAAAATATAGATTTCGACACGTTGGGACACATTTTGATATTAAATAATATATTTAATATATATATATATAGTGTATATTTTCAACATCAACATCAACAACACCTTTATCCCAAATTAATTAGGGTCGGTGGTAGATGAACCCAAATGAAAGATATAAAAAGGTTGAAAAAAGAGATATAATCAATAACTTAACAAAAAAATGAAACAAAACTGATAATATCCATCAATTTAACCAAAAAAATTCAAAGAAAATAAATCATTTCCATAATTCCATTACATTAATATAAAGCAAAATTAATAGAATATCCATAGAAAACCGTAAATTATGTAGACTACATTCATGGAGCATTTTCATCTAGAATAACACTTGACTCCATCTCAAGTGAAAGAGTAGTGACTTCAAGAATTCCAACGTCTTTAAATGTATCTCCACTTTTTTAAGTTTTTATTAAATGTATTTTAATTTTTTCAAAATTACAATTATAGTAATGTATTTTAATTTTTTTAAAATTATAATTTTATTATAAAAATCTCATTTGACCATGTCGGACAAAGTCGAATTTATTTGTCAGATTGGTCAACGTGTTAGAAATGTTGATCACGCGTCGGACATGTGTCGGATCATGTTGGGTGTCTCAGGTTTTTTGAAGTTTTCGTGCTTCATAGATGACAAATGATCGTACTATGGATGCTGATATACATGCCCTTTTCTGAGCTGACAAGTGCTCTAGATAAAAAGGATTTTATGCACACAAATTAATAGTTGATTCTATGCTGTTATTTTGGAAACTGTTTCTCTCTTGTACATTGTTTATTTACTTGCTTTGTTAGTGTCTAGCTGGATTCATTTGTCTTTATATGTAAATATTATTGCACGGTACTTGTACAACTAAAGGAAGCCAGTGGACAGGCATGTGGCTTCCATGGATTATTATTTCTGTTATTACAACATTCTGCCTTGACTGATAGGTATCTGCACGAAAATGGACTAGGGTTGTAGAATGTAGAGTAGAAAAAGAAGGAAACTAGAGAGGTAAGAACAAAGTTCTGTTATTCTGTTAAAGAGTACAAGGAAAAAATCTCCTTGCTAGGTTAAATCCCAAACTATTCTTCCAACGACTCACCCCTTTCCTACATTTCCCACCCATTTAAATCTCCTTCCTTCCTTACTTCCCAAACTACTCTTGTAACTGCTATAACAAAACCCTCGGATTTTACTGTTTGTTCCTTCGGGGATAGACCTTCCTGAGCCTCCTCAACATCATTGAAGCAACTTATGATTGATTATTTCCTCCTCAGGTTTCTAATGCTTTGCTTCATTTGAGGCAACGTAATAATAACACGGGAAACTCATTGCCACCTTGGATGAAACCTCAAGCAAGTTTCAACGTTCATGATGGCCTTGCCAGTACGTTGGATAGTTCTTTACCTCAAGAGTTAGGGTCAACTGTCATTGAAATTATTAGAGGATCAAGGCTTAAAGCACATGCCATGGTGGATGCGGCAATTCAGGTATGGGCCTATGGAGAATCCTGTACCCCCTCTGCTTTTGCAGTCATTATGAATTATGCATAAAATGATTTTTTCTAACATATTTTGTTATTTGTCCATAATCCGGTAACATAAGGACTCGTAATTTTTCTACATGCAAATTATTCATTGTTCTTGATCCAGTAATGCTTCATCAGTTTCGAGCAAATGATGCAAGTCATATGTAATGATTTCTTCGTAGCTCTAGACTCTGGTGGAACACATACATTGGAATATTTTTCAAGTATTGCCTCAAACTATAAGCTTCAATAAACTCTAGTTGATTTTATAATTCAGGCATTGTCTTTGACGAAGGAAGGTGGAGATGCTTTCATGAGGATTGGGCAGTTATTGGATTGTATCGATTATCAGAAGTTGGGCACCAACTCTAGGTTACCTGGGATCAGGTCCCAAGAGCAAGTGAATTGCAGTTTTGATTACCATAGTCGGTCAATTTGCTGTTCATCTGAGCCTTTGCTCAATGATGCATCTGGTCCAAAATTGCATCACGATTCTGACAAAGTTGATACCAAAATTCCTTCAGACCTCATCATTTCTTGTGTTGCTACATTGATCATGATACAGGTAATTAATTGAGACATGAAACGCACCAACCCACCACTTCCCCATGTGTGACTCTAAAGTAAAAATGAGTTCTTTGTCATACTCGAGACCAGTGGCCACATAAATGCTTCTGCTAGGTTTTGAGCGCGCATCTTTTTTGGATTTTACCATCTTACCTTTCAACTTAAAGAGACGTTTATCACACCAAGGTTTTTAGAATATACTAACCAGAATTAAATTAATATTCTTCAACTTGCAGACTTGTACTGAACGACAATATCCTCCAGCTGATGTGGCTCAGACATTAGATTCTGCTGTTACCAGCCTGCATCCATGCAATCCACGAAACCTTCCTATTTACAGAGAAATTGAAATGTGCATGGGAAGAATTAAGACCCAGATTTTAGCTCTCATCCCTACCTGACTTATATCTGTTCCTTTTCTCGAGTTGTATATAGGATGCTGAAATATTCGTTCATTTCAGTCAGAGAAGTTCCTCGCCAACCTTGTAATTTATGGCATTTTATATCATGTCAATAGGGTCAAGCGCTGGAAGCAGATATAACATAGTTGATCTAATCTTGAAACATCTCTTTGTATCTATAAAATAAAATCTTTATTCAGCCTAGAACGAAAATGGATCCTCTCATACAAAGATGAATTTACGATTATGACTTTGTAACTATCTATTTTAATATATATTTTTCTCTCTTTCTTATGATTTTGTAACTATTTATTTCAATATTTTTCTCTCTTTCTTTTGATTCATCCTTGTATGGTTATGATTTCTCATACGATCATGTCATATTTTTTTTTCACGTGAGAGGATCCACATCCGTGTAGAATTGCTTTGCAATTGGGATACTCTATTTAGCCCTAATAAAGGGGGAACCCCTTATCCCGGTTTAATCGGAATTTCACTGGAAAATCTGAGTATAGAACATTTATTCGCCGCTCGCTTCGGAATATCAACCAGAATCAATCTTCTGAGCAAATGGCATGGAATATGTATTCTGAAATATAGGATAAGTATTATCATTCCGATATGCATATTTTCATATGAGGTTTTAAATTTTAAGAGTATCCTTTTTAGTATAGTTTTTGTATCTTTGAGACTTCAAATTTAAATTTATTTGTAATCTTATATAGGGTGAGATATTGTAACAATCAATTAGTGTTACTACCAATGTTATTACCAATCAATTTAACCGTTAGATCGATTATTTTGATCTAACGGTTATATTTATTTTCATCTTTGTATGGTTATTATTTCCCATATTTAATGTGAAAGCATTAAATATGGAAAATGTAGAAATAAATAAAAAATATAAAATATGGAAAATCATAATCATACAAAGATATAAATAAATATAACCGTTGGATCAACATAATGATCTAACGGTGAGATTAATTGGTAGTAACACTAATTGGTTGTTATAATATCCTTCTTCATTTTATATTACTATAGAATAATAATTATAAAATAATTAGACTTTCAATTTTAGGCATAACCACATATTCCATGCTTTCATCTAAGTAGTCCCGACTTCTGTTTCACAATTTTTATTTAGTTTCAGCACAGATTGATCAGACCAATCAAATAGCTTAATTATTTGATATTGATTTAACCGGGGCGTTTGGTTCAGAATTTTTTTTTAAAATACTAGGGAAATGTAATTGATAGGAAAATAGTTAGAAAGTGAGTTAGATAGTAAAATGTGAAAAAAGTTGTTTGGTTTGAACAAATTTTACTGGGCAAATTAGGTAAGATTTATAAAATTTATGTTTGGTTTGAGGTAAAATATAGATGGAAAAATAAGTGACAATTACGAAAATATCCCTGTTATTAAAATTTTTAAAACGAAAAAGAAAAAGTGATGTGCAACTCATCCCTGTTACGAAAATATCTATGTTTTGGTTACTCGCAGCCATTAAATCACCCAAAGCAAGACCGTATTCGAGACATATTGATAACTCCCTCCCATCATTCACTACAGGGACATTATTTGATGCATGTGCAACTCATCCTCCAAAAATATTGTCAGCATGCATGAAACTGTTGCATAAATTAGTATCTCACTCCAGTTTGGCATGGACAATGTATTGATGTTTAAGATCGTGAAATAATTATGAAACTATGTTGTTAAACAGAAGATAGGCGGTTTCTTATATTATGATTTATGAAGTGAATGAATGTAAATTCTGATAATTTTGTAATGTTTTAATTTGAATAAAAAGCCGAATACAAATAAAGAAAGGCAAAGCAAAACATACAGAGACAACGAGAGCTGAGGTGGCAAGAGCCAATCCTGCAATTTTGGTAGCATCGACGCATTTTTGAGCCAAGTCTTCGAGATCAGCATGAAGAGAGCATGTGAGCTTAGATGCAGAGGATTCAAAGCCGAAAACCTTAGAAATAGATTGTGTAGACTTGAGCTGTAAAGTGTTGCTGCGAGCAGTGATGCCTACCTTGGTGGGTTGCATGAGGGTAGCAGCTGCTTGTAGTGAGGCTGCCATTGTTGATGTTTTTTCTTAATTTCTCTCAAACTAACAACTTTGTAAGTGTTTTTTTTTTGTCCTTTTTGTGTTGGTGGAGAATTGACAGAGTACAATTATTTGGTGGTTATGGTGTGAGTAAGATTTCCGATAGGAAAAACAGAGCATGCCAACATAGAAAAAACAGTTTCTGTCAAGACATCAATTGAAGCACTTGACCAGCGACTCCATGCAAAGATACGTCTCTCGAGAGCAAATCAGAGGGTATATTTGGTCTGATTTATTGTGGCCCATGTGATTTAGCCGGTTATCATCAAAAAACCGCCTCCCCTTTTGCTTTTTAAACAGTACATAAGCCTAGCTAAATGGCACAAAACTGAAAATTCTATGCATCCTGCTTCCCTAGGTTTTGAGTCATTTCTCCCTCCCCCAAACGCATGCTTCCCAAAATCCCAACATCATTTGCATGGGGTAATTTAAAAACCCCCCAAACCAAACACCACCTAACGAACGTTTGGAGAAAGGAATTTCACATTTTCTTTTGTTCAACGTTCTTCAAGATGCATAATTGTTCTATTTGCGATAACGGGGATCTTAAACAAACAAGCCTCAAATTAGCCCATCTGAAATTATTGTCTTCGAAAGACCTCAAATTATTGTCTTCTGTAATTTTACGGTAAAATATCTCAAATTCGAAAAAATATAGGAATTTTTTTTGACCAAATCCCCTTAAATGGGATGTCATTGCGTAGCTCTTGAAAAGTTATATGAAATAAAAAAAACCTGATTCGGACATCCGAGTCAAAAATTATGGCCATCTGAAATTTTACGGTAAAATATCTCAAATTCAAAAAAATGTTGAAAATTTTTACCAAACCCCCTTCAATGAGATGTAATTGCGTAGCTCTCGAAAAATTACTTGAATAGAAAAAGACACATGATTCGGATAGTCGAGTCAAAAGTTATGGTCTTTCGAAGTTTTATGATAAAATATCTCAAATTTGGAAAAATATTGAAGTTTTTTTGACCAATTCCCTTTTAATGAGATGTCTTTGCATAGCTCTCAAAAAGTTACAAGGAATTAAAAAAAAGCACCTGATTCAGAAACCTAATGTCACAAATTATGGCTTTCCGAAGTTTTAAGGTAAAATATCTCAAATTCAAAAAAATATTGGACTTTTTTTTAATAAATCCCCTTCTTTTTTAATAAATCCCCTTCAATGAAATGTCATTGTGTAACTCTCGAAAAGTTACATGGAATAAAAAAAAGCATCTTGATTTGGACACCCGAATCAAAAGTTATGGCCTTCCGAATTTTTACACTAAAATATCCCAAATTCGAGAAAATATTTAATTTTTTTTTTACTAAATCTCCTTTTTTTTTTGTAAAAATTACCAAATCCTCTTTAATAAGATGTCATTGCGTAACTCTCAAAAAGTTACATGGAATATAAAAAAGGCACATTATTCGGATACCCGAGTCAAAAGTTATGATCTTCCGAATTTTTGCGGTAAAATATCCTAAATTCAAAAAAATGTTGGAATTTTTTTTACCAAATCCCCTTTATCGAGATGTTATTGCATAGCTCTCAAAAAGTTAAATAGAATAAAAACAAAAGGTACATGATTCGAACACCCGAATTAAAATTTATGGCCTTCCAGAATTTTATGGTAAAATATCCCAAATTCAAAAAAATATTGGAAATTTTTTTTGACTAAATTCCCTTCAATAAGATGTCATTGCGTAGCTCTCAAAAAGTTACATGGAATAAAAAAAACACCTGATTCAAAATCCCGAGTCAAAAGTTATGGCTTTCGTAAGTTTTAAAGTCCCTCTGAGTGAGATGTCATTGTGTAGCTATCAAAAAGATAGCTGATATAAAAAAAAAATACACTCAAGTCAAAAGTTATGGCATTTTGAATTTTTACGATAAAATATCCCAAATTCAAGAAAATATTTAATTTTTTTTACCAAATCTCTTTCAATAAGATGTCATAGTTACATGGAATATTAAAAAAAAAAAAAAAAAAACACCTAATTCGTACACTTGAAGCAAAAGTTATAGCCTTCCGAAATTTCACGGTAAAATATCCTAAATCAAAAAAATATTGGAATTTCTTTTTACCCAATCCCCTTCGTTGAGATGTTATTGCGTAGCTCTCAAAAAGTTATATGAAAGAAAAAACCTAAGTCGGACACCAAATCAAAAGTAATGATGACCTTCCGAAGTTTTACAATAAAATATTTCAAATTCAAAAAAATATTGGAAATATTTTTTATCAAATTTCTTTCAATGAGATATTATTGCGTAACTCTCGAAAAGTTACATGAAATTAAAAAAAAAATCTAATTCGAACACCTGAATCAAAATTTATGGCCTTCCAAAATTTTACGGTAAAATATCTCAAATTCAAAAAAATATTGAAAATTTCTTTGACCAAACCCCTATGATAAAATATCAGTGCATAGTCCTCAAAAGGTTATATGGAATAAAAAAAATCACATAATCCAGACATTTGATGTCAAAAGTTATAACCTTCTGAAATTTTACAGAGCCCTCAATATTCCTATAAACTTCAACTCTTTGAGCTCACAACAAGAAATCACAATTAAAGCTCGTCGCTCCTCGTTAAAAATATATTTAGTAAAATCAAACTCAAATTCTCTCCTCACTTAGTGTATTCTGAATTGAACTAAATCCATTAGGTATATTTACGCAACTAAAATATAAAGATTTGGCATTACTCTTCATTATAATGCAAGTGACAGCTCCACGAACTCAAGTCATAATGAACTTGTCAGTAGAAATCTGAAGTCAAAATGATCTGAAAAAAACGAAAAAGGAATCCCTTAAATTATAAGGATACAACCTGCCAACAGCATGCGTGCTGCATAGGGTTAAATATTTCATCTTTTCCTCGTCTTTTTTTTTTTAAAGTTTCTCCTTGATGTCTTTTAGCACTGGACACAAACATCGCAAATGTGCCGGCACAAAGGAGAAAACGATTTCGTTAAGATGTTTAAAGGAGAAAATTGGTCCTCAATATACAGAATTTTCTCTCTCCAATTTCTATCCTAAAAAACAAGGGAGCAACAGCCAAAGAAGCCCATCGAACCAAAGACTCTGAAAAGTAATCAGGTAAGGAAGGCAGGGGATATAGCTCAGAAAACAAGTGCAAATAGAACAAATGGGTCCCTTCCAATGCTATTCCCTTCATATAAGATGGCCAATATATCCCAACTAGCCTAACAAGAATCTGAACACGTCACTTAAGGAAATAATCCCTTCCACGCGCTTGCTGCCAGCCTCCACAATCACAAGTCTCCTAACCCCTGTAAAGGTGAAGAAAGTGGTTTAGCAAAGAAACTACTATCATTTTTTACCCTTTCCCTTCCTTTTAAAAAAGAAAAAGCAGCTCCTTAATGAAGAAAATAATACCAGGATTAGCCAACCGCTCCATCACTTTGTGCAACGAATCAGACCTCAAACACATATGACATCTGTGGCCATTGTAAAGCCCATAAGGAGAATTTGCATCTTGTCCCAGAAGCAATGCCTGCAGCCATAAAGTTTAAATATTTAGATTCAGTTTTTGCTAACAAACAAAACCAAACAAATGTATTATTAAATCTCAAAAGTCATTATATTGTAATTACCTGATGAATACTAATTTCATCGAGAGATATCCGAGCATAAGCTTTATCTTTAGCCAATGCTGTAATATCGCTGAGAAGAAAACAACAGGCACATATCACGTATTCTCGAGGGAACCTTTCAAGGTATAAACATGAGAATCACGCACATGGACAAAAAGAAATAATACCTTCTTGTATATATGTCAAGCAATGAATCATTATCGTCCACTATTGGTATTGAGCTAACTTCAGCTGCAAAGGGAAAGAATATTAACATAGGTTACCAAAAGCTAGACAATAATTAATATGAAAGTATTCTTGATTTTAGCAACACTGCCAATACTACATACTAATCACGAATTAGAAAGTTAAGTTCCCATGGCAAGGGCAAAAACTATTCACCAAATATTATCCCTCTTGCCAAAAACAAAAATAACAATCATGAATGTATTTGTCAAATGACACTTTAATTTGGAAAATTCTAAGTGAGACAAGTGTACCAGTCTGTACACTGGACCGTTGAAAGCTAAAGTTGATTTTTTCAAATTTTAGTCCAAACAGTGCAATATTTGTCAAACAAATTGATTGTTTCTATTCGTTCAGTGCACAAATGAATGGTGCACCACGTGTACACAAGAACCTGCCCTTCATTTTTCTATTCCCTTTCTTAATTGATACACATTTTATATTACAAAAAAGTCCTTGAAAGATTCCCCTTGGACTCCTTCATGAAAACATAAGTGGGGCAAAAAATGCATAACTCACCAACTAATCAGAACCAACACCATGATAATGTTAAAACAGAAGAATGATCACCTTGAATAAACATAGACAGAGCAGCACCAAGAGAAGCATTTGGCCTTAGCATTGCAAGTGGTTGTCCATTTGGTTCCCCAACTTTAGGCACCCATGTACCCAAAGGTATTGAACCAACCGGAAGTTGAAGAATTGGCAAAGAACCAGAGGAGTGCTTAAAATGCCTGCATATACCTGAAAATTAAGTTCATACATTAGTTCCAACTTCCAAACCATTTATCTATCTCCCATAGACCTAGAAGTTTACATTTTAGTATTCCTGACAGGGAAGCAAGATGTAGCAGTTGAGGAAATGAACCATCCTCTGAAGAAGAATGGATGATAGGAACCGTCGACACCTTGTTTTGCAAAACTTTCAAAGCCACATCTTTTAGACATTCATGGGGCCCAGCCTGAAGATCAAAGATAAAAACAGCAAGAAGTCCAATCATAAAAGATTCAAGAGTTCACCTCCAGTTCTTTTTTATGGAGAAGGGGAATCTGGAATCATAATCAGAACGAAGTACAAGGCTAAAATGCATTTTCTTCCACATAAGATGTTCAATCATCATCAAGCATAATATGAATGGCAAAAAGAAGCCATAAAAATTCATATTAAATGAAATGCTAAATAATATAGAGGAAAAGGAATAACAGATAATCGGGAGAAGGAATGAAGCAGAAACATGACCTAATAGATAGGACAAAACCACATGGAAAAACAGCTGTGAATTTATGGACAAATAAAAAAAAATGGATGATGGTAGCTGACCAGTTCACTCAAAAATGGGTGCTTCTTTTATAGAGATTACTGGAGAAAAAATTCCTCATAGGACCCATAGAGGAGAAACTCAGAAAGAACAAGAATACGCTTCCTAAATTCATTCAGTGCCTGACCACGTGATCTTTTTTCAAAAGGAAGGTGTTTGTTTTTTTTTAATGCACTTTTGGAGAAGCAAAAAAAATGGCCTCTGAAAAAGCACTAAAAAAGCTGATTGAGCTTTTTCTAAATGCTTGAATAAAAAGCTATGTACAGTAATATCACTTTTGAGCTTCAGCAAAGTAAACCATGCATGATTTTTTAGAAGTAGATTGAACCAGTGGTAAATACCTATATCTAAATGTCTTTCAAGATATTAATATTGCCTAGAACTTAATAATCATCACTCATGTTGCAAAAGCAAACCTTAATATGATCTCACAGCTAACAAATCAGAACCATCTCACAAGTATAAAAAAGTTGACAACCTTAAAAAGTATGAAATTGGAAGAATATCTTATATACATGAAAATTTTGTCATAAATGCTCAGGAGCACTTACATGAACAAAACGAAGTGGATATGATCCCCCATTACTATCAAGCGTTCCGCGTTGCTGTAATTTTCCCTCTTTCCAAGCTGCTATAGTATGAGTCTCAAGTTGTTCTTCAGTCAAATTTGATCCATGATTCCCCAGCTGAAATTACACTTGTTACTATGAATCATAGATACTGAAGCATAGAATGCACATACTCTCTAGGCTCTTTCTCTAGTAAATTTCTCTTTAAATATTCTATTTAAGCATAAATTATCTTATACCAGTTCCATAAATGATCTATTATTAGCTTAAAATGATAACAAAAGGATTCTCTTTAAAATTTTCATTGTTCCTTTTTAACCAATTGTTAAGTTTTCATTTTGTATCAATTTTAACCAGCTGTTTAAGTAGTTTAAAACATCAAGTATCAACCCTATAAATTATTATTCATAGAGTGCAGATCATGACTTTTACCAAAAACTAGCACTGGAGAGTTGCATAAACACTTTATTCCACACAAACAAACCTCTTTCAATATTAGAATGAAGTCCATTGCACTAAGCACTCCAACAAACCGACTCTTGTAAAAGTCCCATAGAGGAGCCATAGATACACCCTGAAAGTAGATTACATTACAATACATATAAGGTAACACATAGTCATGCAGATAGACATACGTCCATGGGGATGGGTGTGCGCCCTCATGTAAATAGAAAAAATTCATGTTAATAAATGATGGAAACGGGAGAAAATACCTGTTCATAGAGAACATGGAATGCTTGCTTAACAGGTAAATTTATATCCAAGGCAATGACCTGCAATTATAATAAACCAAACAAGAAAAATGAGCTAACACAAAGTAGCTCTCAAACTTTATAAGGACATAAAAAAAGTGAGAAGAAAAAAATATTCAAACCTTTCCTGACTCAGGAAGCAAATCATAAGCAGTAGATGTAGACAAGAATACTGATATACGGTGGCGAGAGACCTCAAGATCAGACTCTGACATCCTTGGATTACCTTCCTGTAAAATTCTCAAGTCAAGTAGCTACTTTTGTGTAGCATATAGTTTAAGACTACAAGGAATCAAGGATTATGGGATGAATTCTGATACCATTTGAAATGAGTTGAGGATATAGAAGAAAAAATAAGACATTTAATTTTTCAAAGCAAAAAGAAGATTATAAGTTATAACATTCAAGACTTTTAAGCATGATTTTTTTTTCATTTGTAGTGAATATAATTTTTTTAATTTTATTAGAGGGAAGAAAGAAAATTTACACACAGAGCCATACCCAAAAGGAAAAGGGAAAAGGATGATAAGATAACTTCCAATGCGAAGTACAAAGATAAATGCATCAACAGAATAAAGCTCTCCACCCCTTGCATATGTATGTTACAAAGACTCCATCAAATAGAACATGAGGCCAACACCAAAGAGAAGCAGGAAAAATGATTCTGTCACGCATTAGATCTAAGGGTTGAGAAGAGTTTTAAAATATGAGCATTTCTCTCAAGCCAAATACATAAAAAAGTAGCATGGATAGTAAACCACCATAGAGCCTTTCCCTTAAGGAGCAATGCAAAAGAAATTGTTCAAAAATAATGGGGAAGATGGGAATGTCAACCAAAAACTGCTCTCTAAAAAAGAAAAAGATTGGGGAGGGAGTTCTGTAAACAATCTAAGACCCATATCAAGCAAGGATGCTTCTCCTTATTGAGGTGTTGGAGTGTCGGACACGTTTCCAACACTTACACCAGTACAACACTCGTATAACTCCAGTCAGACATTACTCATCAGGTGTCCCATTATTAAATTATTTTTGGTCAGCTTGGACACACTTGACACAGTTGGAACACTCAGCCGACACTCACATATGGATGGATACTTGAAGGACACTCACAAAGAGCAGTCGCCCAACATGGGGTCAGGACAAACTAGGCACAATACCAATTTCATGTACATGCAAACCCACTCCTAAAAGCGAGGCTGTTAAGAGGGGATAGCCTCTACTTTAAATGTAGTTCCATGACTCCCACCCAGCCAAAGTGAGACTCAAGCTCCTGAGTCAATTAGAATACTATCCAACCACTAAAATATATGCAACAGCAAAAGGGGACAAAAGTAGGAAGAAACTTACCACATGCCCAAAGACATCATTATCAACCTCCATGCGGGATCTACCGGGTGTTTCAGCACTTAAGATGGGAGGTAAAATATCTGGTTCTCTCACTAAATAAATAGTATTCACTACTCCATAGTTCCCACTTACAAATGGCTGCTGCTCATCATGCCGCCACTCCCCATCCACGTTAAATTTATACTGTACATAATTGGAAACAATATTATCCTTGTCAGCATGAATCAGTTATCCTTGCCATATTATGTTTAGCAGTATTTCAATATTTCCCTAAAATATCAGATATTATGTCAAACAGATGGATTATATTAAACATACCAACATTACATAAGTCAATGCAAAAGGCAGCCTGGTGCTATAAAGCTTCCATTATGTGTAAGGTTTAGGGATGGGTCAGTCCCATTGCGGGTCTCTAGTATGCAAGCTTAACATGCATTCGCAAGAGGCTGATTACATGAATCGAACCTATAACCTCCGGGTCACATGGCGACAACATCAACCATTGTGTCAAGGTTCCCCTTCTATTGGTTAAAGCTCCTGCTAAGAACGGGGTTCAGGAAAGGGTCAGACGCATTGTGTGGGTCTACAGAGTATTTGCAAAAAACTGATTACATGAATTGAACCTCTGACTTCTGAGTCACTTGGCGACAACATTAACCGTTGTACCAAGGCTCCCCTTCTTAATGTAAGTCAATGCAAAAGGCAAGAAACTAAAATACTTCCTAGATAAATTGAATCTCAATTAATATTTACTTATTAACATATAAGTCTTGATGGAACATCTTATCAAAAGTTAACGTAAACAAATCACGATATGCCAAAAATGTGAGCATATAAGTTCTATACAATTCGATATTTGTTACAAGATATGGCAAAATAAGAACCCAACCTACCAAATGTCCTCGATCTAGTAATCATAATCTTTAGATCTACCACAATAAGAAAATTAGTTCCCAAGAAAAGATGGGACACAACCAGATAGATGACAAATGAGTTATATAACACTACAAAATTTGGTAGAACTTACTAAAAGTATCACATTGCATATTCAATCATATGCTTGAATCATTATAGTATAACTCCTCCCCATTACACACACACACACACATATAATGAATGTAATATGCCACTACCCAAATCACACCTCCACCCTAACCATATGGGCTTAGTTCAAGTGGTAACTCCTGAAAATTAATAATCTTGTTTTCTCATATCATTATATAAATTAGATGAGGGGCACTCGAAAAGAAATACAAAAAAAAAAAAAAAAAAAAAAAAAAAAATTCACTCCCCATTAAACCCGACTAGCGAGTGTGGGGTGAAGGTAATCCTTGTACGCAGCCTTACCCTTGCATAATTGCACATAGGCTTTTTCCTGGATTCGAAAAGCAATACAAAGTTTTACAAAAATCAATATAACTTAAATTGCTCCTCCAAATATATAATAAGGATATATTTATGCTATTGTTTTGATGGATGAACTAAAGCAAGAACAAAATTATAAGGGCTTTCAATTTTACGAATAAAAATAAGATGCAAGTCAAAATAATATGATGTAAAATTTGATTCAAATTCATGCATAAAATGTATAGATAGAGGATAGCGTGGTAGGAAATCTAGGTTATAATAAACTTAAATAATTGCGTGATATAATCAAATTCATCGTTAGTCTAACCTACCATCCAGTAGACCATACTGTTTCAGCAAAACATGCTTGCTTGCATGACTTCCTTCGTAGTCAAAATGATGCAAATTACCCAAATGTTTTCCCATTTCAAACCCAATCATTAACGTTTACTTGTTCACTCCTCCAAATAACTCCAAAGGGGGCAAGACAACTCTTATGCCTTCTATGGAGACTATGCCAATTTTTACCCATCAATTAGTGATACAAACTCCTAATATAAATTATTATGAAGTTCCTCATTTGTTTCTGCAAACTCTAAGTTAAGATCCTAATCACACAAAACGAAGTTTAAAGCAATCAATTTACAAGCTCATTCCTCTTTTTTGGTTTTTAATATTTATGGCAACATGGACAAACATTACTCGATGAGCTAATCCCCTTACACCGATATTCAAATAGAAGGAGGTGCATTCGGACATAATGGTCATCAGCAACATATACAAGTAAATGATGTAAAAGCGTCAATCAATCATAATAAAGATTATTTCCTCAAGTTTGCAATATTCATAGAGCCCAAACAACCTGGTGATATCCCGGCATTAAGCTGCAAATAACTTGAAACACTGCAGGGCATCCCTCCATCGGAGACATAGGTATATGTTGTGACCATCTGTGCACATCCAAGTTAACATTAGTAAATTAATTCTGATTTCTGACATTAAAAAAAAAAAAAAATGTATAAAACTCGGCAAAGTCAGAGCAATCACATCCATCATGTTCAATAACAAAGAACAAAGATCAGAACAGTAACCACCGTTGCAATAAGTAATTCGATACCTCGTGAAAGAACCACTTAGAAATACCCTTCTTCCACCATAAGGCCAGACAAAGCGCTTTGGAATCCAAATGGGTCCTGAAGCACCAGTGCCCTCACATCCTGTATCCGCTACTGAAGCAAACATTTCCATAATACACAAAATTCAAAGCAACTCACCAACTCCAACAAACAACCAATAAAAGCCACAAATCTCAACAAACAACTCTGCCACGGGTATCCTCCACAGCAGAGCAGAGGACCCCCCCTCCTTAACACTCAAACATGCAGTGTACCTTCACAACCAACACCACCCCTCTCCTAATTGCAAAACGGAAAATTTTCACACCCACTGAATCCGGAGCACTGTTAATCAAAACCTTCTGATCGATAATTCAGCACCTGAAAATCAACGAATTACAGTGACGTCAACCAAAACAAAACAAAAAAAAAATTGAAAAAGAAAAAGAGAAGCAAGATTTTTCAAAGGCGGGTACAATTTGGGTGCAATCCATCACAGAAAAATGCGACACGACTCCCCTGAAATGGGATGTGAAATGAAAATAATATATGAATCAGCGAGGCTAGTAGAGAGAGAATGGGATTTAGGTCAAAAGAAGAGAGAGAATGAAATTAAAAGCGATGGAGAAGAGAGAGAGAGAGAGGATATGCAGCGAGCGAGAATGAGAACGAGAATGGAGGAAGAAGCATTAAATTGATTAAAAATATTAAAAAATTAAAAATTAAAATGGCAGGCAGAGGCAGCACACAAACACAAAACGAGCGGAGAATAAAAGGAAAAAGAGGGAAACAAAAGGCACAAAATACTGTGGGCAGTAATTATGTGATGGTAGAGAAGACATCTGAATCGGGTAAAGAAACTACTGCAAAATCACTACAAAAATATAAATAAGTTCGAGACAAAGGCTTATAATAATGAGAAATTAAATTCGAGACAAAGGCTTATAATAACGAGAAATGATATTTTTATTGCCAAAATTTTCTATCACTAATTTATTACCTATTTAATCAATATTGAATCAAAGAGAGAAGGAAATATTTAATATGGTACAGGAACACTGAATCTTTTAGTACTCCCTCTCACATCATTAATTTTTTCTTTCTCTTTTTATCCTATTATTTTCCCTCTTTCTGATTTTACCTTCCTAATTATATTAAGGGACCACTTAAATAATGGTGGTCCCGGTTCACTCTAAATAATTTCAAGAGAGAGAATGCTAAAAAAAATTTGAAAAAAGAGAAAATATTGATCCAATGATGATTAGATAGGTAATGAGTTAGTAGTAGAAGATTTTGGTAGTAAGAATATCTTTCCTCTATAATAATAAGGGTAAATCAATTCTGATATTACATGATATAAAATAATAATGTTTACTCTTACAATAAAGAAGAGAAAAAAAAATAATAATGAATAGAGAAAAGTTAAGAGATGGGACGCACGTATAATTGTGAGCAGGAATATTGTATTACATCATATAATATAACAACTCATTTACCCTCATAATAAATAAGTAAATATGCTCTTATTATAGTTTTTAATAATATATATAAAATGAAAATTAAATAAATATTAAATGTATGCATAGAAATCTTTTAAAAGAAAAACTAATTATAAAACTATGGGAAAATTGAATCTGCTACACATTATTATCCGTAGTGTGTGACACAAAATAATGATGGTTCTATTTTAATATTTTCTTTTTTATGGGACCCACATCATTTCTCTATCAGTAGCTGCTGATAGTAATCTGCAGTAAATACAGATTTGATTTTCCCATGAAACTATGAGAAAAATACTTTTCATGTTGCATCAAAAATACTTTATCATATTATGATATTTCAATTTACGTAAAAAAAAAATTTAATAAATATGGGATCATTACTAGTTAAATTATAATACGAGAAAATAATTTTACTACATCGTAAGAAAATCAAAGCCCTGAAAGTATACAAGAATTATGAAACTATAATTTAAACGAAAATTATTTAAAAGAACTTTTAACTAAATCAGAATTTAAAACTTTTTAAACGAGAAACCAAATAAGCAAGTACTATATTTTGAGGCCACGTTTGGCCAGTGTGGGGAGTAGCTAACCTGAATGTGTGACAATCTTTTAAATAAGAAATGATAATATTCATCTGCTCAAAGCATATTGGGGGAGTTTTGTCCCTTCTCAATGTGTTGAATTACCCATTTACAATGATTTTTCTTTTAATATTTTGAGCCTTTTACACATTTTGAGTGCAATGGAATCATTTGGAAATTACTAGAATATGCTATTAAGAATGTAGGATTTTCTTTTTTAGTAAATAATGCAGCATCTTATTTTATTTTACACTTAAATAGTGACATCCAATGGCTTTTGGGTCATATTGAAAGAATAAAATAGTGAATACTCAATGTTATAATATTTAAGAGTTATTGTTTGTTTTACAACAACAACAAAAAGGTTATTGTTTGAATTCCAAAATTAAAAGTTTGATCCTTAGAAAAGTGTCGTTGAAAAGGTCTTTTGATTTTCATCACATCCTAGTCAAAATTATGATATATATATATATATATATATATATATATATATATATATATATGGAAAAAATGAAAATAATATATATGGAAAAAATGAAAATAAAGTGACTGGACGGTCCAGTGCACTATGTTCTCCAGCGAGAACATAGTGCAAAAATATTACAATGGTGTTCTTCCGAGAGAACATAGTTATAATTTTACTATAACTGTGTTCTTGCGGAAAAACATAGTGCACTGAACCAATTTTTACATCCATCATTGTACACTCACTAAACCCCTCTCTCTATATATATATATATATATATGAGAAATACTGAACACAGGCCACTTAATTTACTTCCGCAACCAAAGGATAAACGACAAGTTACTTAAATGTACAATCAAGTTACTTAAATGTTGCTCCTAGACTTTCCTCATCTAGGGACTTTAACGCTTCTCGTGTATAAAAAATAAAGACATAGATATTTCTCTTTTATCTATTATTTTAAGATGAAAAATAAATAAATAAAATAAATTTTACATTTAGATTTAAATACTAATTATTATTTTAAGTTTTTGAATATTTTTTTCTCAATACATGTTTAATATTTTTTATCTGTTTGTGGATATTTAATGTTAATTTATTTCTAAAATTATCAAATTTAAAATATTAGTTTCTTTTATACTGTATTCTTGCGAACAACTATAATGAATCACACGTATTAAAATTAATAGACGATGTTAGCTAGTTTAAATCTTTAAACAATTTAAACATAATCAATACGTTTATGGTCAATTTCTTTTTAAATATGTCCACTGGTTCATCGATCGACTATTCAACTAGTGTGTTTCGACTTTCGAGCACAAATTTCATTAATTGTATTATTACATTGTTCATGAGAAATCTTCGTACTATTATATTACCCAAAGTTTCCATTAATTTTGCTGTTTTTTTTTTTTGGTTAACCTCGTAATACAAAAGAAGATGTATTCACGTCAAGAAACGAAGTGGGTGGGTAGTATATGTTTCAATGGAATCTAGGTCACAAGGTTCGTTCAAAAAGCAAGCTATATTTTCTTAGGGCCGTTGATATTATTGCCAACTAAACGGACAGAAGAATCTCTTGTTTTGTTTTTCTGTTGCTACCAACGAAAAGGAAATACAAACTAAAGGGCATAATGGGATCTTATCGTGGGACCCCAGATATTAGTAGCCTAATTGGAGACTTTAATTTTTTTCTGGAGTGGTAAGTGGGGATGTATCTCTTATGATTTATAAGTAATATGACGTGACAGTTGATGGTATATTGAATTTACGGTGATAAAGTCCTTGTTGAGTGTGACCATGAGATCAAGGGGCATTGACGTGTGGGGCAGTGGCCTACAACTGAACGTGATTCTCGGATAGCTTCCCCCACTGCAATTTATTTGTTGGGTGACAAGCATGATTGCAAGCATTCTTTTGTTTTTTTTTTTAAATATTTCAATCGGTTCATTCCTTTTGCAACTAATCTGATTCGGGACGGGTTAAGGATTAAGATTTTATATCATTTTTTGGCAAGCATTCTTTTGTAATTATATATATATATATATTTGTGGAAAAATATATTCCTTTTTAAAGGACAAAAAATTAGGTTCTTTTAAAAAAAGAGATAGATATAAAGAGATGAAATTTATACTTTTATTTTACTTTTTGTCTTTATTTTTTTTAATGGAATTTACACCTCTTTATGTTTATCTCTTTCTTAAAAAGATATAAGTTTGTGTTCTTTAAAAGAACACATATTTTTCCCATATACGAAATAGATTATTCTTACATTAATATAAAAATAATAAATCTTATAATAAATCTTGATCATTGATTTCTTTACATCTAATGGCTTGTATATGGACTAAATCAAGTTGTTCGATATAAATATTATCAACGATACCAAGAATAAAAGTGTAATTTACAAGAGTATAAAATGATCATCATCCCTTCTCTCTCTATATATAAAGGGTGGTATGTTATTTTAAAGGTATGTTTAAATTGAAGTAAAAATGTTTACCAAAAAATTGAAGTAAAAATAAGTTATTTTTTTATATTTTATAATATCAAATAAAAGTGTTTTTTTTTTTTTTTTGCATCTAAAGTAAATGATAATAATAACCATTAACATTAACATCATCAACAACAACACTTTTATCTCAAACCATTTGGAACATAAGAACAACAACGGGTCTAACCTTTCACCATGCATATAGTCTTTATCCATTTCATTCTAAAACACATCATCCGCCAACTTATATCTCACTTCATTAAGTTTTGTTTTGGCCTTTATCTCTTTCTGACTCCATTAATGTTGTTTTACTACATTCTCTTAAGTAAGTTTTGACCAACCTCTTTTTGGCTCGTGTCAAACTTTCGATAACAAACTTATTTTCTTACACGAGCATTTTGGGATTTTTGCATTATGTGCTCAAACCATTTTAATCAATGTTCTTTTATTTTTTCAACATCTGTATTATTCTTACATTTCGTCGAATATCTTCATTTTTGAAACATCCTCATTTCGATTACTCCTATTTTATGCTTATGTTGTTTATGTGTTTACCAACATTTAACTCCATTTAACATTGCATACTTTATTGTTATTATGTAGAACTTCCCTTTTAGCCTAAAGGGATTATTGCATTCTTACAAAAATCCTGATGCACTTTGCCATTTTATCCACCTTGCTCTAATTCAATTATTTACATCTTCATCAATCTTTCAACCATTTTGCAAAATTGATCCTAGACACATGAAAGCATATTTGTTGAGTACCTTACATCCAAGTAAATGCATGAAAATTTGATCTTAATATATTTTTGAAGCAAACTCACTTCATATACTCAACATTGTTCCGATTTAGTATAAATTCTTTAGACTCCAACTTGCCTCTCCACAATTATAGTTTCGTGGATACCATTAATAAGCGCAATATCATTTGCAAATAGCATACACCATAATACTTTCTCTTGGATATCTTTTGTTAACTCATCCATAACAAGAGCAAAAAGACGAGGACTCAAAATAGAGTCTTGGTGTACACCTATCTTCATAGAAAATGACTTGATGTTTGATTACAAACCTTCATATATGTAGTAGCACGATCATACATACTTCTCTATTGCTACATAAAAAGATAACATTGTGTATGTGTATCCATTATTATCAGTTGGTAATAATGGAAGATTTGATTTGACTCTGTGATGTTATGTGACTTTTCTCCCACATTAAGTTTTCGACATTAAAAGTCTTGTGTGCCAATTG